GCGATGGGGAATCGGGGAAGGGGAACAGACAAGTTGCTGTCCTTTTGTTCTTCAGTCTAGTTGTGGAGGACGTCACTTCACTGGCCCAAGTTGGTACTGTAATCATTGTGCTCTTCCTGGGTAAGGTAATTGCTTGCTGGCCATTGGACGGCTGCTTACAGAAGCTCACGGCAGCCCCACTGCCGCCCCACTGCAACCTACACTGTTGCTGGTGACTCACGGCAGCCCAGCTCCAGGTTGACCTGTTGTTCACCATCTTAGCTGTAGAGGGCAGTGTCACTGGCTCTCATGTGGGATCCGAACTGGGGCCTTGCTGCTCAGAGCTGGTGTCCCAAGCCAGCTCTTAACCAACGCACCACTCAGCCGGTCCTGTCTATTCTACTATTCAACTTTATTCCCACTGAAATACAATTTTCCCTTTTTGTGTCATGGTAGCTGCTGGGATGTGGGCAGGAGGAAATCCTTCTGTGGATAGGACACAACTTTTCTATGCCTCAGATGATCCAGAGGCTGTCAACACTGTTTGTCTTATTATTGACCACTCCCTAACCTGAAGTTTCTTTATCTTTCATGCTTTTCCTTTTAATGTCAGTGCCCAAGTGTTTGGCCACTTCCGAGAAATGTCTTCTTTCTCTAATGTTTTTGCCAGTTCAGCTCATGGAAACCAGATCCCCCTGCTTTGCCAAAGTATGTGTTTAACTGGTGCAATGAGTCTTGGCTCCATGTCTTACTTTCTAATTCAGGAAAAAGTGTTAGTTACCCACATTATAGAAGTAGGTCACTGGAAAAACTGTCTCCTCTGTGAACTTTTTTGGGGCATTTGTATCTGGAGCAAATATAGGGCCTAGAACATATTAAAGGTTCAAAATGTATTTGTTAAGTGAAATGCTAGTGGTTGGCGTTTCCTTGGCTACTTTCCTTGGCACGGAGCAAGCATGTTGTTCACTGCTCTCTCCCATCTGCAGTAGCAGGGTTGTCAGGCCGTGAGGGACAGTGGACCGATTTTAACAGCCTTAGTCAAATGGAATCTTTTGGTAAATCCACAACAGGAACTGAACAGAACATCCCTTCTTGGATTAAGAAGTCCAAATTGGTGGTTACAAAATAATCACAGGGATGTAAAGTATAGCATACGGAATATAGTCAGTAATACTGTAATAACTATGTATAGTGCCAGGTGGGTACTGGATTTATCGGGGGATCACGTCATAAATTATATAAATGCCTAATCACTACGCTGTACACCTGAAACTAATATAAAATGACATTGAATGTCAACTGTAATTGACAAAGAAAAAAAAAGAGCACCCTTTTTTTCCCCAACTCTACCACGCATAGAGCATCTCAAAGGCTTATGGAAATACTTGGGGTGGTGGTGGTGGTGTTGCTCTGCCTGGTGACCTCTGCCCCTTGCTCTGTGGTATGTGGCTAATCCAGACCTATTGCATTAAGTTTGTACCTGATGGTTTAGCAGAGGTAGAAACACTTTTATGCCTCTCTGTTTACACTTAACACAAGAAAAGATATGCTATGCCATGTGGTAACCTTGGAAGAATTAATTCCTCTGCCTCAAAGAGGGCCATGTATTTTTGTATTCCTATCAGTTTAATGCAATTCTTGGAATGAAAACAGGTTGAGTTCTCACCAGTGAAAACCACTGGTCATAGGAAGTCACCTGGAAAAGCATCTGCAGAACTACTGTTTCAACTTACTACCTGTTGGTTTATATTCAGATTTTTAATTTCTTATACCTATTTTGACATTTGGTAATTTTTGAGGGATCTATGCATTTTATGTAGGTTTTCAATTTGATTAGTATATTGTGGTTCATAATACTGTCATTTTAATTGTTTTGTTGTTTCTTTAGTTGGCTTTTCTTTCTTATTGTATATTTTATTTACATTTTCTCCTTTACGCCCACCTTAACTTCTTCCCTTGTTCGTCTTTCCACATTTCCCTCCCTCCCTACTATTTTTTTTCTTTTGATTAAGTGTGCCCGTGATCTTATTAAGCTTTTCAGCTTTTGGCTTTGCTGGATTTCTAAATTGTTTCTTTTTATTCTCCAATTCATTGATTTCTGCTTTATCTTATTATTCCCTTTCTTATTGTTTCTTTGAGCTTGTTCTGCTCCTTTTTGTCCCAACTTCATGAGTTGAATGCCTAGCTCGTTTATTTTGTAAGGAATCTATTTGTATTGNGCTATGATTTCCTTCCAACATCCAATATGAAAATACATTTTCACTTTGTCTTCACCTGCTTCGTATTTCCCACTCTTGTCAATAATATTTAGCTTCGAGATGCTGTATTCTTGCAGCTTTGGAGTTGCTGCTTTTTGTTCTTTACCTCACCCCACCTCGTTTTGTTTTGTTTTGTTTTTAAATAATCCTACTGCCTTCTGGACTAGTTTGTTGCAGGTATAACTTAATTTTTCCTTATCGGTTTTGCTTGGTTCTAGCACTTTCTCTCCACTTCCTACCGAGGGCCTGAATCGCTGACCTCCCTGCCTCTAGATTCTACCACAGTGTCCGAGGGTTTCTTCCTGAAGCTTCACTCAAGTAGTTAAATGTACTGGCTCACAAGCCTGAGGTTTCTTCAGGAAATCAGATTCAAACTTGTCATCATAGATGTTTAAGACCCGCTGCCACTTGACTCCTGCTGTGCCTTCACCTAACCTACCTGCATTGTTTCTTCTTCACAGCCCTGACCAGTATTCCCGCTGAGCTGGAAGTGTTGTCAGACACACCTCTTCCCCATCAGACATCCAGCAACCTTCCTCAACTCTCACGTTCAATGGTGCAACCTCATTGATGTAGATTGGCCAGGTAGACTCTTACTTACAAATAGGCTGTGTTGTTGTGGATTAGCTGTTTCCTATAGAAATATGTTATAGGTGGTGATGAGTTTCCGGGCAGTCTCACCGATGCCCACTTAGCTGATTTTGTTTCTGCAGGACTGAGTCTATGCATAGACTCAGAAAAACAGAAACAAAGCATTACTTACACGTTTGAGTAAGGACCTCTTTGATTTCATCATGATAGCTTGTGCCTCAAGAAGAGCATGCTTGTTTAAAGAATGAGAAATAGAAACTTGAGAATTTTCTGAGAGAGCTTTTGGGAACCTTTATGGGCTTGGGCTTTTTAAAAAAAGTTCTAGCTCTAGTCCCAAATGTACAACTTCTTTTCTTGGATACTGTTATGTCATTAAGTCCTTTAAAACATATCTACTCAGATTTGCTTCTTGAGTGTGCAGCTGAAAAGCACAGAGGAAAGCAAACACCCAAGGGGAGGAATTTTTTGAAATAAGTGGGCAAGAGTTGAAAAGAGAGGTGTAAGGGAAAAAAAAGTCTGTTGAAAGGACATGTGAGTGTCTGGGTGGTGGTGTTGTTTTGAGGTGGCGTTCCTGGAACTAGGAGTGATGAACTGAGGAAAGTGAGAGCACTGCATTTAATTCATTTGGGGGTAAGAAAAGAGGTGGCGAGGAAGAGATGCCAGGCTGAAAGTGCTCCAGGTGGCCCCCAAGGACAGCCTGTTTGCTGCCTGGGTGGTCTTGGGTTGGGTGTGGGGAGAGGAAGAGGAGTGAGATGTTAGAGCTCTAGGGACGCTCATCTGCCGAAAGAGGACTAGCAGCAGGTAAGATGGCCACCTCTCACAGAAGATCAGTTAGATGTCATCAATTCAGGAAGAAAATCAGGGCTCCGGCTCGGTAAGCTCCTCATGAATTAAGTTCACTCCCTGGTGCTACCGACAGATTGCAGCTAATATTTATTGAGTGCTTACTCTGTGCCAGGCCCTGGATAAGCATTTTACATTTCATCCATTCATCAGCCCTATGAGGAAGGTTGTGACCCACTCAAGGTCCTCAGCTAGTAAACGGCAGAGTCCCAGGTCTGCTCAATGCAGATTTCACCACCATACTGTCAGGTAGAGACTATTGTGTTCAACCTCCAAATTTTAAATGTGAGGACACAGCCCTGCAGTGTTGTTGCCCATTACTATGTATCTTTGTGTATCTGCAAAACATATACAATATAGCGAAGAGCTGCATCAACAAAGGAAATGTTATAACACAGAGTTTTCTAGTTCCCTGACAGTTAAATCATTAATGCACAGGAATTGTCCTAGCAGAGAGTGTCCTTGGGAAGTTTCTGAAGAGCAGGGCTTCTAGAACTTTCTTTTAGTCCCCAAGATTATGTTCAAATTTCAGTAGCTTTTTTTTTTTTTTTTAATATGGAACGTTTCACAGATTTGCGTGTCAACCCTGCGCAGGGGCCATGCTAATCTTCTCTGTATCATTCCAATTTTAGTATATGTGCTGCCGAAGCGAGCACTTCAGTAGCATTTTTAGGGGTTCAGCTCTTTGCCAATCACAGATTCTTAGTGAAGTGAGGAGATCACCCAATATAAGAGCCATTTCCTTTGAAAGGAGAGATATTGTAAAACCCAGAGGTTAAAGTTAACTTCCCACTAGTGGGAAAACTATCATATTTCTACAAAGTTCCAGAAAGAAATTTTAAGATATGCTAGGCCATGCCAGGTATTTAAAAATAAAGTGATTATAAATGTGTGAAGCTAGAAATGGTTTTGAAAAGTAGTCGGGGAACCTGAGAAGGCGTTGTTGAGTAACCAGGAATTAGAGAGTTGGGATTGGAAGCACGGGTGTCGGCTTTTGGATCTCAGGTTGCAGGAGGAATCCAGAGCAGACTGACGTTTAGGGCTCTCTGGTTGGAGGACCACTGACTTCTGACTGCATAGTTTATGAAATCTGAATTTTATATCCCTTCCTGTTCTGTCTCCCTTTAGCCTGAAGAAAGGAGTCTGTGCGTGTCAGATTCTGGGCCAGTGTCTCCTTGAACTGGCATTAATGAGTCTGGCTGTGGCTGGGGTAGGGGTGGGGGCCTGGTGGTCCCAAGACTTGGATTTGCACCCTGGCTCAGTTATTTCTGACTGTGTGACCTCATGGGTTTCCCATTCGTCATCTGTAAGATGCCCACCTCCCTTGCCCCACCTACTTCACTGGGCTGTTGTGAAAATAAAATGAGATAATGTGTGAATTCTGATTTTTGGCATTCCTGTCACGTATTAGAAGTGCTTGCTTGGGGCTTCAGATTCTACTCTTTAATTTGACATCCACATTGAGATATCTGAGAGGTTTAAATAAATCAACGAGGATGGTAAAAAAGGATTACATTTAGCTGGCTGTTTGTTACTTGGGCACTGATCATTGAATTGCAGAGCTTTAGGACCTAACTGTCCATCATCTGCTCTCTTACTTTGAATGTAGATTTGGCTGCCATAACAGAGAGATCTAGACTAGCAGAGGCTTAAATAACCTAGAAGTGCATTTTTCTTTCATGTAATAGACGAGATATAAGTGAGCCAGGGCAGCTCTGGAGGTGAGGTGGCATTGAGGGA